TATTTTTAGGGGTGAGAATAGATCAGGTCAAGCTTTGAATATATAGAAGAGGCTTAATTATTCAACAAAGTTAAAGCATAAACCTAATCTATAATCAATCATAGGTTTTTTATAGATCGATCTTGACTTTTTTAAAGCTTGACATAACCTATTTAAATATTTATTTTATAAATTTATTAAAAGCTTATTTTATATTAATAACATTAAATAAGCTAATAAGTTTTATTTTAAATAAGTTAATAATTATATTTTTAAATACACTGAAGAACAAAGGTGGTGAGGCGGCCAAGAAATCTGGTTCCACACCGGGCCAGGGTGTTCCTTCAGCTGAAAACCATGCAGGAGATACTGATCCAATTTTACGTGTGCATGGTAGCCTACGTGCTGGTTAACATGCTGGTGATCCAGCCAAAAAGCCTCCTATGCATGGTAACAGGTTATCTTTACGTGTGCTGCTTGTTAGGTACAAATAAGTCTTATATTGATAAAATATAATAAATTTTTTTTTATATAGCATAAATATATTTTAATGATAGAAAAACTTTTTAGATAATAATTAAAAAGTGAGAATTAAGGCCCAAAATAAATAATATCTTATCATTGTAGAATGAAATATATTTGTGTAATAACCTTATAAAAATAATTCTTATAAAATATTCTCTTAAATAAATATCATAAAATAATCTTCATTAGTACTAGTCAACATGCAAGTGAGCCAGCTGGACAGCCCTCACCGAATGGTGATATCCTGGTCGGTGGATAATCAATTGGTCAAAGCTCCAGAATTGCTAGTCGGTGACTTGGATAATGTTGCAAAGGCTGGTGATGCAACTGCAATGGCAGCACCGAGTGAAGAGGTAATAAATTTGGAACAGACGCATGTTGATCGGCCACATGAGGAGGCGGTTGCAGCTGATTACAATAACGTGAATGGGAATGAGGTGATGGCAGCTGGAGCTAGACATGTTACTAGTATTTCGGGTGAGCCTTCTGGGGAGATTAACAACAAAAATGATTCATCTTTAGATGGCATGCCATCACTAGAGGACATATCCAATGAGAATAATCAAAACTGTGAAGCTGAACCTGGTCCAGAAGCTGATTCACGTGAGGAAGTTTCTTCCAGGGCCAATCAAGGTTTCTCTCAACAGCAGCCTTCGGCGAATGCAGCTCCTCCAGTAGCTCACAAGAAATGGGACTTTGCTGCCATTGCAGATGCGGCTTCAGAACCTGATGATGATCAAGAAGAATTTTTGCCTAATGTGCCTAAGGACTTCAACCATATGGTCCCGGAGGCTAGTAATTTTATTACGGACTCCAGTTTGGATGCTATGGTTGATTCGTATCAGCTTCAACAAGAATTATCCAACTTTCTCCCCTCTGTCCAGCATGATTCTCAAATTCTAGCTGAGAGTGGTTTTGATTGGAATGATGTGGGGAAGCCCTCTCATAAGGCTAAAGCCCCCACGTACCCAAAAGAAATCTTCCGCATCTATACCGAGAACTAGATCAAGGGCTGCCAAATCATCTAAATTCTCCATAGGCTTTGTTTTAGGTGTTATAGAGAATTATAATTGATTGATTCTATAAGTTTTGGTCTATGTCTTTGATAGGCATTGCTATATATTCATGTATTTCTGTAGCTTTGTCTTTTTTACTTTTCTTTGATTTGCTTTGTATCCTTTTTCTTTAAGTGGATTTTGGTTTGGTCACTCTATTTTGTCCGTTTATCTTTTCTTTTAATTTTTGATGTGGAGCATATGATTTGCAGGTCCTAATGATGTTAGTGCACATCTACTTTTACCAACAAAAAAAACACATGTTCAAGTCTTTGTTTAATTTGCATGATATGTCTTTTTTAATTTACTTGATAAAAAATAGTTTGCTTTTTTATTATTATTATTATTATTATTATTATTATATTCATGTATAGGCTGTAATGAAAAAGATAATCTTATTAAAAAATAATTCTAAGTATTTCTTTTATCATATTTGAAGTATTCTAAATAATTAATCATGAAGATGAAGAGAAAAAGTAGGTAAAAATGTAGTTGCTAGAATTCTCATTATCGTTATCTTGATTTCATACGAACAATGAATATAAATCATTTAAATGTAATAGAAATGTAAATGATATTGATAATTTAAAATTTAAAATTACAAATTTATTTATTTAATTATATTATTAATAATGGTATATATATATATACATATATGTATATATTATTTTTTTTATTATATCGTAGATAAATAAATTAGTCTATTAAACTTAACAAACATTTTTATAAGTCAAAGCCCAATTAAATCAAATAAATGAGGTTTTTTAAAATCTAAATATGTTACTAATTTTATTAAATAAGTTAGATCAGACTTTAAATAGGTTAAATCATATGTCCCTCTGCTCAAAACTTGACCTATTCTCATATCTAAATATCATAAATAAACCATGAATTTTACATATAGTAATTGATCCCATATCTTTAATAATAAATAGTAACTGATAACATATCATTAGGGTTTGGTATGCTTATTCCTTAACACTTTAAGGTGAAGAAACTAAATTCACTCGATTCATGACAAAATCTGCATGAGCCTCAAAATTTTCATTCAAGTTAAAATTAGAAAGAAAACACTTTAAGTTGTCTCAAATTCATTCGAGCTTTGGTATTAAGGCTTACTTATAAAAAGATATGTGATATTCCATTTATTCATATTCTGAAAAGGTATGTTTATATTATATTTCTTTTATATTTTTGCTATTAAGACTTGTTTTTTGTATCAAATATTAATAATAATTTAAATGAATATAATTATATATTTAGTAGAGGCCTAACTATAAAAAAAAACATATGGAGAGAATATAGCGAGAAATGAGAGAAATAGAGAGGAGAAAGAGTGAGAGAATTTAAAAAAATGAAAAGAAGACATATGAGAAGAAAATAGGGAGAAGAAAGAAGAGACAAATAAAAGATATAGAACTAACACAAGTGGAAAAGAAAAATAAGTATAAAGAATTGAAGAAGAAATAAGAGAAAGAAAATAGGGAGAAAAAAGAAGAGACACATAAAAGATATAAAGATAACACAAGAGGAAAAGAAAAATAAATATAAAGAATTTTAACTTTTTTTTAAGGAATTTGAAATTTTATACCATTTAAAGTTATCAAAACAATTTCACAAATTAGTATAATTTTAATTTCTTTCTAATTTTTTATTCTAACAAGATATTCATTCCGAATACTTTTTAATTAAATTCATTAAAAAAAAAGCATTTCCCTATAATTTATTTTTGTCACACACCTTTTTTTTTTAATATATTTTATTCGTTAGGAAACTTACAAGTATAATACTTATAATAGTTTTACAAAATTGGTTATAGTTGTTAATTAAAAATTATAGATAAAATTATAAAAAAATTAAAATTACAACATTTTGATTATCACACACATGCTTTAAACTCTTTATTGCTTTAATAGATAGAGAGTAAAAACATAAATTATTAAATTAAAAAATAATAATTAGAATCATACTAAAATATTTAAATATATGCAATAAATTATAAAACATTAAAATATTAATAATTAATTTTTATCAATTATAAAATACTCACTATTCTCTTTACTTAAATAGTTCAATTTTTATTTTAAATTTAATTAATTTCATTTATTTACTGTGATTGAAATATGTAAAAAAATATTTGACTATTTTATATTAAAATAAGTTTATAATATGAGAAAATAATTATCTATACTAATCAAACCAAACGTAAATATTGGTTGTTTATTTGTACATTTATTTTGATAAATCAACGTAAGTATAAAATAAAAATATTTCAGCATAGTATGTGTTTGTTGAGAACAATATGTAGTTTATGAATTAGTTATTTAAAAATGAAATAAGTCATACCAGACTTTTTCGTTTGTATGTACCAAAAGAAAAAAGTGTTTAGTTTGAAATATTTTTTTTTTTTAATATCTATTTACTTAAATTCCGTTTTAAAAATTATACGCTATTATTGTCCTACAAAAACTTATTAACTTTAAAATTCAGTTTTCAATGATTAAGAAAGATTAGGATATCCTTTTATATATTTTTATACGCTACTTCTCAAGTAATATGATACTTTAAAATATTAAATACGTTTTATACTTAAATAATTTATATTTCTATTTTATTTTATTCATACATAATATTAAGAAAGTATTGTAAAATGTTTAAGGTATTATAATAATTGTAAGACGTCGAATGAATAAAATAATACAATTTTCATAAGAAAAATACGACAAAGGGCATGTGAAAAAAGAAAATATAAAATATGTGTTTTAATTATCATATATGAGATGGCGTAAAAAGAATATAATGTATGAGATTTTAGTTTTAAATATATAAATAACATAAGAAAGGTGGATGCATATTAAATATGATAATAACTGCATTAATGACAGAATTAAAAATAAGTCAATTGAGTTAAACTTGTCATTCGATAAAGAGTTGTTTAAATGACATTTTTTCTTGAGATCATTTAACGAGTTAAACTTTAATTCACACTCCACCAACTTCTCTTCTATTCTCACCTTATTAGTTCTTGTTAAACTTGTGATGCACGAAGACATACAAAGATGCATAAGCTTGAGAAAGAAAACTCCAAAAGAAATTTTATTGAAAGAAAAAAAATGAATCTCACACAACTACAAGTGTGATATCATACTCATATATAAGAGAGCTAAAATCATTAATTCTAATAATGGTAATAATAAAAAAGGCCAACGAATAAATTATTTTTTTTATGAAAAATTATTTTCTCTCAACTATAAAAAATTTTCCGGACATTATTCATCTTACTCACACTCGCCAACAACACAGGTAAATTATTAGCCTTTTGGATCTCAACAAAATCTTAGTTCAAACCCTAATCACATTCACAAATTTCCCAATCCTAAAATGACGCAAACAGTGGTTGAAACAGATGCAACTCAAGTGCCATTGCATATTTCTTTAATTATATTCATGTCAGACAAGTCAAGGCACTACATGGTAAAAATTAAATTATATGATTGAACTACTTTTGTTCGATTAAGTGTCTTTCTGTAAATTAAAATTATGTACAATTTCTTAAAGCTTAGAAGTGCATTTCAATAAAAATTATGTACAACTCCTTAAACTTTTCAAGTTTGATAATAATCCTTTTCAAAGGTTTCAACGAGGAGAGAGTAGTTCGCTGTTGCCTTCCAAAACTGCAGCTCTACGTCGCGATTCAGATTGCGTTGCTATCCATTCTGCTTGCTTCTTCAGATCCCTGCAAATTGAACAAATACATTTATCAAACATTTATACACAATTTACTTTTTAGTTCATACATAAGCTCATAAAGTAACATAATACCTGCAACGAGGGATGCAACATCCTGAGTCCCTACAACTCCTTGAGTGTACAGCTAGTGCCACCCAAACCTTCTTGCAGTATCTACATCCGCCAGAAATTCGGATGGTGCACCTACTTGCATGAGAGAACAGTTTTTTAATTTGAAGACAGTGTAGATATGTGCATGGTTGAGTTTTGGTTGAGCGACACTGCGATGCATGCTTTACAACATCTTGCAGTTCCTGTATCTGCATGCATGAGCAAAAGAAAGCGTGCATGAAAATTATTATTACTAGAAACTAAAAATAATACAAGTGTGAGAACTAGGTTCATACCAGTGCCGCTTTCGGATTTAACTCTTGATTCCCTGAAGGACTTAGAACTGTTGAATAAGTTTGAATCAACGTGTGTGCATGGCAATTAGCACCTCTCTTTTCATAGCATGCAGCGCAGACAATGAACTCTGGGCAACTCTGACATTTCCAGTGGTACTGGTAAACGTTTTGTTTATTGCAAACACGACATATTGTTCCAACATTCAGCAAAGAAGGATTCTTTAGAAAATAGAGGATCATCATTGAGGAATACTTGGCTCGGCGCAGCGAGTCAAACTGAAAGCTATTCTTTTGGCAAAAGCTCAAAAAGTTATGCCTAGTATCAAAGAACTCATTATCAAGGGTCACATCATTCTCCTTAGTATCACAAAGGATATCATCATCCATGAGGTCCTGGAAAGGCACACAATAATTAAAACATATATGATTTCAAAAAATCATATGAACTTGACTTCAAGTTTATTAGGAAGGTACCTGACAAAGTCTATGCTTATCGCCATTGACAGAGGCGTGTGAATCAGAAGTATGGCATCTGAAATATTAATATGAAAAGCATGAGATAATATTGTTGAGAGAAAAATAAGAGATGGGGAAAGCAAAAAAAGAAGATACTAAAAGGTGCATAATCTTACAAGGAAAAAATTGGTAGAGGGAAAGAAAAAAAAAACTGGTAAAAGGAAAGTAAAAATATCGTAGACACTGAATCTAATTAACACCTATAACAAAAAAGAGAAAGGAGTAAGTATAACAAATGATATCATGTGAGTAAAAGATCTAAAAATTTAAGTTGTGGGAGAACTATTCATAAATAAATTAGTATTTTGGTTTGTACATTATACTTGATAATTTTTTATTTTTAAATAATTAAAATTTAAATGATAAATAAATGAAGTTTAATTTATAAATTACAATATAATCAAAATTTATAATACATAAATATACTTAAATATATAAATTATATTTTAGATTGATAAGAACATTTTAAATTTTAATAAAAGATTAATTTTTAACTATCAATGGTTTTTTTAATAAAAATATTGAAATTCAATTTACAGATAGAAATAAAAGAGAGTAAATCGAAGTGATAAATATTGGAAAAAAAAAACAAGTATACAAATAAGTCTAAAATAGTTAAGAGACTTTTTTAATTAATTGCAGGGATTGTAATATGAACATCTAAAAGAATAATGAAAGATAATATTAAGAATGTCTGATCGAGAGAATGTATTATTGTGACTAAGAGTAGCTAGATGTATTGGATACGATTATTTTAAAATATATAGGATACGATACTTGTAAGATAATGTCATTATATATATCAATGTTCATATAATATAATAAATGTTACCTGTAATTTTGATCAAAATTCATAAAAACTAAATATATAATTACTATTTTGCAAATCCTAATTAAAAACATACTTATTGTATATTACTAAAAATAAATAAATTATAAATCATTTCATCATAAATTACTTTTTATTATTTACAAATAGAAATAATATTACCAATTTCATTCCTTTCTTAAAATTGTCTATATAGAAGACAATTTTTATTTAGAGTTCATCAAGAATCAATATTTCTATGTTTCTATATTAAACATGTTTACATATCTTATTTAGCTGTAATGAATATTTTATAATTTTTTAAAAATTTGAATACTTTATTGATACGTATCACTAATAAGTATCGGTGAAATATCTGAGAGTATCAGAATTGAATAAAATTTTCATAATATTTTTAAAGATTAAGATACTTCATTGACACGTATCGGTGAAGTATCCAAGAGTATCGTATCGGATATGTATCCGATACGGATACGTGAAGCAAATTGAAGTATCGGTACTTTATAGCATATATAGTATGAATTATAACGACGAATTGGAAGTGTTTATGAGAGAAAGGTATAACTTAGCTAGCTTGGAAGGGATAAATGTGCATTGAAGTTTGAAGTGTTTAATTAAGGGAGAACGGTATGACTCGAGTAACGTTGTTAATGATAGAAATGTCAGATGAATGAAACATGTGCACTTTAATACCTTTTTACAAGAACATAGGCGACATAAATTGTGCAAAGAGAAGAAAAGTGTTTTGCTATCAAAATTCTAATTAAAGTAGAAACGACACATGTATATAACAAGATACAATGCATGAGAAGACAGTTCAAATATTTGATTTTTAAGTTAACATCACCTTTCACACTCCTGAAATTTCTTGCATTCAATGGCAGTGCAAAACCATCGCTTTCCAGACACTATCACTTCATTGCAGTGCGTGCAAACATACCGTAATTGAACTATGATAAAATCTTCCTTGAATGGTAGTATGGCTTGTCCCAGCTAACATGATGAAAAAAAGAAAGGAAGAAAGATTAGATAACACGCCTAATAAGTGGTAAGGATCAACGTAACTTAAATTCGTGAATACAAGAATCATGGTTTTAAATTGTGATCACAACCGTAATTGTGACGATAATATTATTGTTGCAGTGCTCACTGAACCGTAATAACTCGCAATTATAGTATGATTTTAAATTACTAAAAATTCTATAATGTAAATGCAACGTAATCATAAAACAATTATAATAAGTTCGTAATATCATATTATCATTTAATTCCATTTTTTTTATCAATATATATATATATATATATATATATATATATATATATATAT